CTATCTAAGTGTTCCTCTGCCTTAGAGTATGTCCATGTTGATGTCTGGGGCCCTGCCAGTATCTCTACCCATGGTGGTAAGAGATATTTCATGTCTATTATAGATGATTTCTCTAGGAAAGTTTGGGTTTGTCTCTTACAGAATAAATCTGATGTTGTTGAGAAGTTTAGGGATCGGAAAACCATAGTTGAAACCGAGTCTGATCTTAAGGTTAAAGCCCTTAGAACTGATAATGGCCTAGAGTTCTGTAATAGGGAGATGAATCAACAGAATGATGTAGACGAGGCGCGAGGCGCAAGGCGACGAGGCGCGCGCCTCACGGTTCTTAACATCATATTTTTGGTAAGATATATTTATACTATTTCTAGTCTTCTACATGAAGCACTCATCTCAAAAAATGATAAGATCACAAAAATACTTCAAACTATTAAACAATATTAACATACATCATAAGAGAAACCAAATATTTATTAAGACAGTAGCAAGAAATAAATATCAAACGGCATCATTGGCAAAAGTCAAGTCACAAAACTCAATTTTAAAATTTCAAAACAAAATTAATAAGATGTTATATAAAAAATTGTTAAACAAAATCAAATATTTGGTACTCAGCATGATCTAGAACAGACCAACAGAGGTAGTAACACTACAATTTCAAGGTAATAAAATATAATATAATACATACTTAAACTTAATTAATAAACTATATACGTATAAAAGAAACTGTAGAAGAGAAGAAATTAATACCAACCTGCGACTACTCTGCGAGTCCTGCGACGCGAGAAAGTAGCGGAAGAAAGTAGCGGAAGAAACGGGACAGCAGATGTGGGAACTCGGAAGCAAAGCAAACGCAGAAGGAAGAAGGGAGAAGAAGGAATAAGGAAGAAGACTAGAGAGACATCCATGAGGCGTGAGAAGCGCGCGCCTCTCAGAGGCGCAAAAGGCGTCAAAAAGCGTCGTATAAGGCGCGCCTCTTGGAACCTACGCCGCCTGGGGGTTGAAGATGCGATAAAGTGTTCGCCTTAGGGCGCCTCACGCCTTTGCGCGCCTCAGGCGCGCTTTTTTAAACTAAGGATGTAGCTAAGCGTATGAATAGAACCTTGCTTAATAAAGTAAGAAGTCTCCTTGCCACCTCTGGTCTGTCTAAGCAATTCTGGGGTGAAGCAGTTAACACTGTTGCCTATTTGGTAAATAGGTCCCCTTCTGTTCCTTTAAGAGGAAAGTGTCCTGAGTCAGTTTACTCCGGAAAGCCCTTAGACTTGTCCAACCTTAGAGTGTTTGGTTGTGCTGCCTATGTTCATTAGTAGCTGGATAAGCTAGATCCTAGGTCTAAGAAGTGTGTCTTTCTAGGGTATCCTGAGGGGGTAAAAGGTTATAGGTTGGGGATAGAAACCAGATGGGTTTTAAGGTAGTGATCAGTAGGGATGTAATTTTCAATGAGTCTGAATTTCCCTGTCTGTCTAGTCCTACCACAAAACTATGTTCTGAGAGTGTTCAGTCTGAGGTGGAGTCAACTCTTGCTGCTACCATTCTATTGTTTGACAATGTTAATGATTCTGATGCTAACCTGCACGGTACTACCCCTTCTAGTGGGGCGGAGTCTTCTCATGATTCTGATTTACATGATAATACTGAACAACATGATTCTATGGAGCATGATATACCTGATTTGCATAACTATCAACTTGTTAGAGATAGGAGTAGAAGGACTGTTAAAAAGGTGTCTCACTCTATGTCTAATTATGCTTTTCATGTGCATGATATCTCCCTATTTGCTTACTCTGTGTTTGAGACCCCAATCGTTGGAGAGCTTGCCCAAACTGTCCAACAAATGCCACGACTTATCGGAGCGGCTCAACCTTCGAATCGTGGGATTGACTACGCAACAAGAGTAGCCGGGCAGAACCCTCCAAAATATCTGGGTGAGGATGACCATCTTATTTTGGAGGACTGGATTCACATCTTCGACAAACTCTTTGACTCACTCAATTGCCCGTTGGAGCAATGAGTGAACATTGCGGTGTATTACCTGCACCAAGAAGCGGACCACTGGTGGGCCACCACCGAACCAGCACTTCTAGAGCAACCAGGCTTTGACTAGGAGGACTTCAAAGTAGCGTCGCGTGATCGCTTCTATCCGAATCACGTAAAAGAGGCAAATTATGACGAATTTGTCAATTTCAATCAAGATGACATGACTGTTCAAGAATATCACACGAAGTTCGTCCATTTGGCTTGTTTTGCCAAAGACCTGGTGTCAATCGAGGCCAGCATGACCTGCAGATTTGTTAACGGGCTTAACTACGGGGCCCAAAAGTTCGTGGCTGTTGCGGAGCCACGGAACCTGAACGAGGCATATAGGAAGGCTGGTAAGTACTATCTGGTACACCAGAAAGAAAGAGAGGCACAAAAGAGATATCGGAAGAATGGTGAAGTAGAGCATCAACAAAAGAAGGCTAGAATTGACCGCCCTGAACAACGCAAGACAATCAAGGCGGGAGAACATTCCAAGGCCAAGGTCAGGCGAGAGACCAGCCAACTCGGATAAGGTATTACAAGTGCAAACTTTGCCCGAACAACCATCCTAGAGCGGATTGAAAGGGTAATCCGGTGAAATGCTACAACTGTAACCTCATGGGGCATAGGGCATACGAATTCCGGAAACCCCGGAGTAAGGGCCAAAACCTGGGGAACAACCAAACCGGGGGTGGGGATATTCACGTTAACATCAACCGTGGTACTCCCGGTAACCGTCCAACGGAAGGCAACCGTAATCGGGGCCAGGGAAGACAAAATAGCAACCAGGGCCAAATCTACGTCATGAACCAAGCTCAAGCGAATGCTAACGATGTTGTTTCATGTACCTTCCTTGTAGACTCCACACATACTCATGTATTGTTTGATTCCGGTGCGTCACACAGTTTTATATCTTCAAAACTTGTGGAAAAGTTAAAGTTAGAACCAACCGCTAAACTCAATCTTAATGTAAAAACGACATCCAATAAAGTTATAACATGTGACAGTGTTTTCTCAAATGTTTCAATAGTCATATCTGATACCAAACTACCCGGAGATCTAATCTAGCTTGACTTGGAGGATGTCGACATGGTGTTGGGCATGGACTGGCTAGGGAAATATAAGGCAAAAATCTTGTGTGATGAACAAAAGGTGGTCTTGAGAGGACCCAACAAGAAGCGTGTATCCTACAAGGCGATCACACCTAAGCCAAGCGTGAAGCTGGCAACCATGCAACAAGTCAAACGATACGTCCGGAAGGGGTATGAAGTTTACTTGTGCATGGTCAAAGACTTAACATACGAGAATCCAACCATCGACCAAATCCCTGCGGTCAATGAATTTCCAGATGTGTTTCCGGAAGAAGTTCCGGGGATGCCGCCATAAAGGGAAGTTGAGTTTTCGATCGATCTAGTGTTGGGTACCGCACCCATTTCGAAGGCACCATAACGAATGGCACCAAAGGAGATGCAGGAGCTGAAGGGACAACTCGAAGAACTGCTGGGGAAGGGCCACATCAAACCGAGTGTCTCACCTTGGGGTGCTCCGGTCTTGTTTGTAAAGAAAAAGGATGGGAGTCTGAGACTCTGCATTGATTACAGGGAGCTGAACAAAGCAACCATCAAGAACAAGTACATGTTGCCTCGCATTGATGTCCTATTTGATCAGCTGAAGGGAGATACCACGTTCTCCAAGGTTGATTTGAGATACGGGTATCATCGGGTGAGGATTGCTTAGAAAGACATTCCGAAAACGGCTTTTCGAACGAGAAACGGACACTATGAGTTCACCGTGATGTCGTTTGGCCTAACAAACGCGCCTGCAATATTTATGGACCTAATGAACCGTGTGTTTCGACCCTACCTCAACTTGTTTATTACAATTAAATCAATTAAAAATAGCTAGAAATATTATCTTTCAATTCTGGTTGGTCTAAATATGTATATTTATACTGGGTATTTAATTTATATTTTTCCAGATTTTATTTATTTGATTTACTATTTTATTTTTTATTTTTAATGAAACTGGGCCAAAGTGGCCCAAATTTGCGACCCGGTCCAAGAAGATTGGGTTGTCTTCTTCCCAGTTCTTCTCCAGGTCGGGATTTTGCCGACCGGAATTACGAAAACTTCGACGAGCGATAACTTTACTTACAGGTAACGGATTTAAACGATTCAAGTTGCAAAATGATCCTAACGTTGAGGAGAAGCTCCGCCACCCCTATTTACGGTCAAATCGTGTCTTTTCTGAAGATCCATTTCCAAGGCTTGCAACTCTAGCGACGTCTAAGAAACTCCGGTGACTACGAATCGATTTGGAATTTATTGGGAAGTATTCCTACACCAAGATGTCGTCGATGAATAACATAATAAACAAGTCGAGGTAGGGTCAGTAAACACGGTTCATGAGGTCAATAAATATCGCAGGCACGTTTGTTAGGCCAAACGGCATCACGGTGAACTCATAGTGTCCGTACCTTGTTCGAAAAATCATCTTCGGAATGTCTTTCTAGCCAATCCTCACCTGATGATACCCGGATCTCAAATCAACCTTGGAGAACGTGCTAGCTCCCTTCAGCTGATCAAAGAGGTTATCAATGCGAGGCAACATGTACTTGTTCTTGATGGTTTCTTTGTTCACCTCCATGTAATCAATGCAGAGTCTCAGACTCCCATCCTTCTTCTTTACAAACAAGACCGGAGCGCCCCAAGGTGAGACACTCGGTTTGATGTGGCCCTTCCCCAGCAGTTCTTCGAGTTGTTCCTTCAGCTCCTGCATCTCCTTCGGTGCCATTCGGTATGGTGCCTTCGAAATGGGTGCGGTACCCGACACTAGATCGATCGAAAACTCAACTTCCCTTTCTGGCGGCATCCCCAGAACTTCTTCCGGAAACACATCCGGAAATTCATTGACCGCAGGGATTTGGTCAATGGTTGGATTCTCGGATGTTAAGTCTTTGACCATGCACAAGTAAACTTCATACCCTTTCCGAACGTATCGTTTGACTTGTTGCATGGTTGCCAGCTTCACGCCTGGCTTAGATGTGACCGCCTTGTAGGATACACGCTTCTTGTTGGGTCCTCTCAAGACCACTTTTTGTTCATCACACAAGATTTTTGCCTTATATTTCCTAAGCAAGTCCATGCCCAACACCACGTCAACATCCTCCAAGTCAAACTGGAATAGATCTCCGTGTAGTTCGGTATCGGGTATGACTATGGAAACATTTGAGAAAACACTCCCACATGTTATTACTTTATTGAATGTCATTTTTACATTAAGATTGAGTTTAGCGGTAGGTTCTAACTTTAACTTTTACACAAGTTTTGAGGATATAAAACTGTGTGACGCACCCGAATCAAACAGTACATGAGCAGGTATGGAGTTTAGAAGGAATGTACCTGACACAACATCGTTGGCATTCGCTAGAGCTTGGTTCATGACGTAGATTCGACGCCGGGCGGTTACCGAGAGTACCACGGTTGATGTTAACGAGATTATTCCCATCCTGGTTTGGTTGTTCCCCTGGTTTGGCCCTGACTCCGGGGTTTCCGACATTCATATGCCCTATGCCCCATGGGGTTACAGTTGTAGCCATTCACCTGATTATCCTGGCCTTGAAAGGTTCTCCCGCATTGATTATCTTGCCGTTGTTCAGGGCGGTCAGTTCTAGCCTTCTTTTGTTGCTGCTCTACTTCAGCATTCTTCCGATCTCTCTTTTGTGCCTCCCTTTCTTTCTGGTGTACCAGATAGTACTTACCAGCCATCCAATATGCCTCGTTCAGGTTCCGTGGCTCCGCTACAGTCACGAACTTTTGGGCCCTGTAATTAAGCCCGTTAACAAATCTGCGGGTCATGCTGGCCTCGGTTGACACCAGGTCTTTGGAAAAACGAGCCAATTGGACGAACTTCGTGTGATATTCCTGAACAACCAGGTCACCTTGCTTGAAATTGACAAATTCGTCATAATTTGCCTCTTTTACGTGATTCAGATAGAACTGATCACGCAGCGCTACTATGAAGTCCTCTCACTCAAAGCCCGGTTGCTCGAGAAGTGCTAGTCCGGTGTCGGCCCACCAGTGGTCCGCTTCTTGGTGCAGGTAATACACCGCAATGTTCACTCATTGCTCCAACGGGCAATTGAGTGAGTCAAAGAGTTTGACGAAGGTGTGAATCCAGTCCTCCAAAATAAGATGGTCCTCCTCGCCCCGATATTTTAGAGGGTTCCGCCCAACTACTCTTGTTGCGTAGTCAATCCTACGATTCGAGGGTTGAGTCGCTCTGATAAGTTGTGCCATCTGTTGGACAGTTTGGGCAAGCTCTCCAACGGTTGGGGTTGTGTGGGGGTTTCTTCTTGGTGGCATGATTCTTAATAAAGAAAACGAGTACTAAGTACTAAGGCATTCATAAGGCTTCTATGTTAAGCAAGTTCGCTACTAACTCAAAGTCTTATGACAGATAAACACATACAGAGGATAACATATCCACATACTTCACATAGGCACGAATCTCATGCATTTCATAACTCAATGATAACTCAATTGAAATACTGATTTATTGATAATAAACTTACTTTATTCGTTCAAACTAAAGTAAAAAGTTTGGAAGCAGAAATAACATCAACAGGGAAACGGGTGTTACCGCCACATCCGGTCATCTCTTAACCGAATGCACATGCAATCCCGAAATAAAACAAAGTAAAACAAATATTCGACATAACTAAAATGTTGTTTCTTGTCTAAGTTTTACGAAGGCATCTCTTAATCGCTCTCGGGCGCATGCAATCATCAATCAACATAGTCATCATTACCTGCACAAATAAAGTGCAGAAAACAAAACAAAGAAAAGGAAACAAAAATTAGCTTTAGAGCTAAGTAAGTACTACCCAACCCCGTAAAATAATCAGGTTTGGCGAAAAATAGTTTTTCATATAATACTATAAGTCCGGCGACGTCTAAGAAACTCTGGTGACTACGAAACGGTCTGGAATTTATGGGGAAGTATTCGTAGACCTCTCACGACCCTCCTCTATCGTTTTTACGAAGATTTATACGTAAAATAATATACATAGAAATTTTCCAGCAAGATTATGTATGTGTGTGTGTATAGGGTTGAGATCGGATACAAAGTATGCTTCCCGTACAAAATGCAAAATCATCTCATCCGTTCGATATTAGTTGATAAAGGGTACATTTTTTTTGGAGCACTAATAGTCAACCGTATTAATGGGGAGAGTTATTTACCCTCTCACCAAAACATACGGATAAGTAGTTAGTGGGAAAGTCCTTCCATCCTCACAGTTATCTAATTAATATGAATGGCTAGGATTAGTTTGCACTTTGTAAATTAGGATTAGTTTGTATGTGATCCTAAATATATATAGATATTTATGCAGTGGCGGAACCAGGACTCTAGATTCACAGGGGCTCATTAACAAAGAAATCATATATATCACAAATTCAACAATCAACAATAAACAGCTAATGAAATAGTACCTTAATTTTGATTAGCAACTGGAGCGTCAAATGAAGGAGAAATATTTGGAGATGGCAATTGTCTTCGAGGCGCCATACTCTGAAATGGCTCGACGAAGCTCCTTTGTAATTTTAGGAGAGGTAAGTTGACTATTCCCAAGAGCGTTTGAGCTCATTACCATATCTATATGTGGATGTTATCTACACTCCCATTTCAAGAGTTCCAGGAAATTACCTATAAATACATTTATACAAATTTATAAGCATTATAAATTAAAAAGGTAACAAATAAGATAACAATTAATGTAAATAATGTAATAAATATGTACCTGAATGCACTGAAGTATCTGATTCATCGTGACCTCGAAAAGCCAGTCCACCCTCTAAAAGAAATCGAACTATATCAACAATAATTGTTAATCTAGCATGATAATCAATCTCATCTTTCTTGGTTTGTTGGAATAATACATAATCCACATTTTTCTTTTGGTTTTTGAACCGAGAATATTGAATTTTTGCATAATGATGTATGCTTTTTGGAGTTCCTTCGTGGTCACGGAATTTGTCCTTGGCCTTCCTCCAGTTATTAAAACCAATTTGAGTAAAAACATCATCCCCATTTTTATGGCCTCTAGCAAACAAATAACACAAGTGACAAAACGCTGCATCCTTGGCAACACTATATTCCAACCAATTAAATTCTTCAAACCACTGCTTTTGAAAAGATCTCATACACACACTAAAATCAGTTTGTGGAAATTTGAACTCACGTGGTTAAGTAGGGCCCTTTGTCAAATAACGTCTTCTCACTTCTTCTCTAATATTAACATCGTAACTTTCAATTGCTTTACGCAATCCAGGATCACCAACAATGTCGTCCTCAGATATTTCAACTTCTATTCGAGGCTTTTTAGCATTATTATCAATGTTAGGAGTGCTATTATGTGACGAAGAAATTACATTATTCGATGAAGAACCATCAATGCTCGACCCTTTACTACCTTTGGGAACCTTTGAAAAAAATGGTAACATAGAGATTCTTTCTCAAACAACCTAGAAATACTTCTTATTAAAGCGATTATAAGAATTAACGATTAATAAATTATTAATTTAGAAATACTACAAAAAAAATAAAATTAACAGATATAAATTAAAATTAACCTTTAACAAATAATTTTCAGCCCTACATTATCATTTGCCAAATACCAACCAATACATTATACAAATACTATCAAAAATCAATAAATAAAAAGAGATTTACGGCTTACCTGGCGGCTGGCGAATGTCCGAAACTCCGAAATCTGAATGGCCTGCTCGAGTCTCGACTGCTCGGAGTGCTCTGTGCTCGGCTGCTCCGCTGCTCGCCTGCTTTGTCTTCGTTTTAATCGTTTCATTCGTTTGGGCGAATTGGGACTTTGGGTGTTTAGACGGAAGAGGAAAGGGTTAAGGTGGCAAATTAGAGGGCTTACTTAGTTACTTTGGTGGGCCGCAGGGTGAAAAAAATTGTTTGACGCTTATGTTAGACGTCAAACATGAATAAAGGGCTAAGCGGGCTTACTTAGTTACAAGGAAAGGGCCGCAGGGTGGGCTTTGGGCTGGCAGGCTGCAGGGGCTATTTTATTAAATTTAATATATATATATTATAAAAAAACTGTAGGGGCTGGGGCACCTCCAAGCCCTACTTCCGCCACTGTATATGTGTATGTATATATAGCTTCTATCTCTCCGATTTGAAGTGTTTAGGATGACTAATGGAGTGTATTTATAGGTCTAGATGGATCCATCTGGATTTCAAATGAATTATTATGGTTTATTTTTTTTATTTGATAATTATATGAATAATAATAAAAATAATAAAAATAATAATGTTTATCCATAATGATAGGTTAGTAGTTGATGAACATGGCATGTGTATTGGTTCCTGATTTGATTTCTCTTGATATTTATGTTTCCTTTTATTTTTATTTTATTTATTTAAATGTATTTTGAGTTTTACATATAAATATATATGTATATATGCACATAATGTATATACATGATTTGGTAGGTGATCTTAGCATGTGAGATTGTTTTATGATCTCATATTTTCATTTATCATTTTGATACTTTTATTAGTAATTTATAATATTCTTACTATAATTTTTATTTATTTATTTATTTATTTTGTCACCTATATTTTATCTGATTTAGTTCCATTTTATTTTTATTTCATTTTTTTGATGTTATATAAGTGTTTAATTCTATTGCATGAAGTGTGTGTGTGTTTTTATACACCAAGTATAATACAAAATATTTTGATATTACTTTTATTTGATTTATCAGATATAACTTATCTGATTTATTTATTTATTTATTTTTATTTCAAAATTTTAAGGTATCACATTATACCCTCCTTAAAGAATGCTTCGTCCTCGAAACATAAACTAAGACGAGAATCAAGTATGAAGATGAAGTATTACAGGTTTATGAGATATTACAATCTACCCCCTAAAAGAAAGGTTACGTCCTCGTAACCCAATGTATTACCTTAGCCAAATAACTCCGGATATCGTTTTCGCATGTCATCTTCGGCTTCCCAAGTGGCGTTTTCGGTTACCGTGAAAGACGAGCATTCCATTTCCACGTTCTTCTTTGCAGCATCACAGTCTGGAAAAAATCATTGAAATAAATCCATATATGCTGGGCACAATGGCAGGAGGCAGGGGCGGATCCAGGAATGAAGAGTGGGGTGGGCTTAGCAGGAAAAAAATTGTTATTGCAAACAAAAAGTTTAGCTTAGACTACTTAGGGCCGTAATCGAATTGAGTTTTTTTCGAACTACGCGAATTCGAGCGTGATTTCGAATTTAATTTAGCGATCTGAGCTTAAGAAGCTTTTTTTTAACTCGAACACGAGCTAGATTTTGAGTTCGAATAGTTGTTCAAGCTGAGTTCGAGCATAGTGGTATTCGGTTTGATCCGGACTCGAGTCTATCAATAACTCATAAATTATAGGAATAAATTTTATTTATCTTAAAATTTAAACATTTTCATTGCAATTTTTTAAATATATTTGAACACTAAAAAAATAGAGTTCATATATCTATTTTATTCAAGCCGAGTTTGAGCATAAATTAAATTAATAATCAAATAGAATTACATAACTATTAAATATTCTAATGCATAAAATAATAGATTAAAAGAGTATAAGAGTATGTGTGGATGGCTTGTAACACCCCGATTTTTTTTTATGAGCTAACTATTTTAATAATTAGTTATTATTTATTTTGGTCAATTAAATAAGTTTCTTCTATGACTAATGTGATTTATTGTTTGATCACGTGTTGTTCTGGCGGGTAACGTTTACCGGTAAGATCTAATAATTTTAATCGAAGAAATAAATAATATTTTAATATTTATTTCGTATATTATTCAAAGTAAAAAAAAATAGTTTAGTTGGATTAGAATTAGTCTTTTAGAAGCTTAAGTGACCCGAATCAGCTATTTGAGCCCAAATAAATTAGTTTTTGACTAAAACCCTAGAAAGATATACATATCAGCTTAAAAAAACGTGTATCACTTGTTCGGCCTCCCTGCGCATACGTTTCATCTCCCTCAATCTTTCTTTCAATCAACGTTTCAAACTTGTAAGTCAATACTAAAATCTTTCCTTGGTTTGATTTATAATGACTGTTGGGCAGACATCTTCTCTATTGTTTGTTTTCCGTAGAGCATATGACTTTTAATAAACATTGATCTAGTTTTTTTTTCTACTTAAGCATAACATCAAATTGGCTGCTGCAATCCTTTTAAGTTTAAAAGGAATTCACGTACAGTTTTAGAATCATATTTGTTCTGGAAAGCATACCTTTAAAGTCAAACTTGAGTAGTTCATTGGGTTATCGTGAATATAGCTTCACTTGGGATTCTTTTTATAAATTCAAGTAAAATTATGCAGCAGAATAAACTCAGTTAGTTTTGGCAGATTTGGGTTTTTACCAAGCATATTTTGTTTATCCACTTACCAAATTAATGCCTAAATTGGATTAGGTGTGACTTGCATATCTTTAATTTGTAAAATCTTCGTTTTTATGTCCAGTACAGAATTTGTAGATTCTATTATCCTAAAATTTTATGACTCGAACTCATGTTTGAGCTACCACATCCTTTCCACTTTTAATTGTAGTAGTTGCACAGGCGTAGCAAATTTTTCCAGCCAATTAGCTTTATATGGGAAATAAAGATTTGTATTGATTATTACATTTAATTAAAGATGATTTAAGAGAAGAGCTTATCGGAAGACGTTATCAAGGTGCCACACTTATTTGAGTAATTTGAGTTCAGCTTTTAACAGGTAAGTTCACTACCACCTGTACATGTTTGTTCAACCAAATGAAAGAAAGAAGTCTCGTTGATTTTTAATAGATGATTTTTAGACTATTTGCTATTATGTGAACTTGGTGAATTATTTGATGAGTTATTTATTTGTCACATTTAGTTATGTTTATCATTCTGGCATAGTCAAGATCATGTCAGTGTTTTTTTTCTCAAGATTTTAATGATGTTTTTACCCAAACGTCACTATAAAAAGAACTAATATTTAAAGTGAAAGATCAGGTGATATGTACTCGGGAACAAGTTCCCTCAGATTATCAGTTTATCAGTTTCAGAGAGTCCGATATGTTTAGTGGGCCGCTCCCCTGAACTGTCGGATTGGCGCCTTTGAGTACATATCACGGGCCCACAGTTAAAAATTAGCCACAAAGAGTTTTACAGAAAGTTTATGAGATCCCTTTCAGAAAGTTTTATAGAAAGTTGTTTTTGAGATCTCTTTCAGAAAGTTTTACAGAGATATTTTGAGAGAGAAATTTTGAGACCTCTCCAGTAGTTTTGAGAAATTATTTTAGAAAATATTTTCTTTTGGTATCTATCTCAGAATTTATTTGAGAAGCTATTTGTTAGTCATTTGTTTAGTGCATGCTTATAGCCTAAATTTATCTATTGATAAATTAGCATAGACTTCTCAGATATTTTTGTGGATCCATAGTGACTTACTAAGCGTAAAGCTTATCAGTTTTCTTTCTTCGCATGTACAGATACTAAAGGTAAGGCCAAGGCCTAGGAAGATGATGAGAGAGTGGAACGCGTGCCGAAATGAGTTAACGGGAACGACCTTGGCGGCTTCTAGCTAGTTATTATTTTTTTAGTATTTCAGATGTTATATTAAAGTGATTATTATTACTTTATTTTATTTGAGGATTTGAAATTTTAGTAAATTCCTGGATCCAGGTGGTTATCACATTTGCTGGTGATAATTAGATTTTATTGAGTTTTATTTGGAGTTATATTTTAGTTATATTTTGAGTTTTTATCAGGGTTATTTCTTAAACAAATGGCTGTTATATTGCAGTTTTTTTAGTAGCAAGTGTATGTAGCGTTTCCTTTAACCCTGAGAGGGGCGTTACAAAATTTGGTATCAGAGCCCAGGTTGTCCCGTAACTTCATTTGTCACCGTACACGTGCTCATCATCTTCCAAGTAAGTATTTAAAGTTAGTTTTAAATTTCTGTGCTTGAGCAAGAAGAGTTTTATTAGATAGAGAACAGAAGTGAGAATGTTTTGCCTTTTGTATTGTGTATGGTACATAAATAAAAGTTTATATTTAGGTGCCTTAAGAAAATGAGGAGAACCCGTGGTCGTCCAGTTGGTAGCAACAATGAGCAAGCAAACAATCACGAGCAGGATTTGGCAGGATTAGTAGCACAACTTCAGAGACAGTTGCAGGAGCAGCAACAAACCATCGACCGTTTGACCGCGAACAATCAAAGGGGCGGTGGTGAAGGGGGAAATGCTGGAAATAATCATGCTAGGGGACACGGAGCACCGAGACAAGAACCTTTGATGATCACATGGAGGAAGATCAAGCCCGCGGATTTCGAGGGGGGTCCAGACCCTCTAGCTGCTCAGGGATGGCTGAAGACCGTGGAAGGCATTGCTAATGGGTTGGAACTAACAGATAATGACAAGGTTCGATGTGCATCTTACAGCCTCACCATGGATGCTCGAATATGGTGGGAGACTGTGGAAACAAGGTACAACATCGCGCAGATGACATGGGAGCAGTTCAAAGAGGAGTTCACCAACTAGTATTTCAACGCTAGTGTCACACGTAGGTACCGGGATGAGCTTCAGAGTCTACGCCAGGGAACCATGGATGTTACAACCTTGGCGGCAAAATTTCAGAGACTGCTACGTATTTGTCCTACAGCTGCCCCGACGGAAAGAGATAAGGTGAGGATGTTCCTGGCAGCTCTTAGGAAGGATATAGCAGTTCACTTGGAGAATGGCAATCAGACTCCAGCTACAGTAGCTGACTGTGTTTTTATAGCAACTCAAAAGGAGTACTACATCTCTAGCGGTCCAGTACCCGCTCAGCCGCAGCCTGTGCCTTCGCAGTCACAGAATCAGTCACATCGACACATGAACAATTCGAAGAGTAACAAGAAGA